GGTTTATAAACAGCTGTTTTCCAGCATGCACATTAGGCATTTTAAAGATTTTTTTCAAATCTTTGCCAAGAAATTACACATTGAAACAGAAAACACACTGGATCCCAGGAGACCAAGGTTGTAGATCTGCCCAGGCCAGGGTAGTGCTATGTGACTTGGGGCAAAGCCTAAGCTCTGAACATCATTAATGAAAGATCTATACTTTATGCCCTCTGAAGTACCTTCCAGTGTTAGACTACGTTTGTCCAAAAATTGGGTTCAGCCCTAAGGAAAAACAGACTGAAACAGACACACACATTGTCAACAGCCCCAAAGCCCAGATAAACACAGAATATCTTTAAAAAGAAAAAAAGCCCGTGGCTGCCCAGGGGCTTGCTGATGGGCCCAGGTGATAATGGAGAAAGTAGAGCTAATGCCCACCCAACTGCATGAGCACCTTGAAACCCTGTGACTGGGTTTCCCATGTGTTTTGTGTACATGACAGTAGAAATGACAATGGTAGGCAGACAAGGCCCAACTCATCCTGCCGGCATCCTGGAACATGTGTGTTTTTCTCCTGGGAGCCTGGTTAGGCCTGCCAAGCCAAACTCTAGTCTCTGACATGATGGAGTTTCTGAGCCCACGTAACTGTGGTACAACTCTAGGACCTAGGAATGAACAAGGCTGACCACTCTGGAGTTACTTGGGAATACCCCAACTGTGCCACTTCCATATCTTCTGACGGAAAGGGAAGATGGAACACACTTTCAGAAAGGAAATTAGCCAGGCTTGGTGGCTCAGCCTGTAATCCCAGCACTTTGGGAGCCCAAGGTGAGTGGATTGCGTGAGCCTGCGGGTTCAAGATCCACCTGGACAACTTGGTGAGACCTTGTCTCTACAATAAATCAAAAATTAGCCAGGCGTAGTAGCACACACCTATAGTTCCAGCTACTTGGAAGGCTGAGGCGGAAGGATCGCTGGAGCCCAGCAGGTCAAGGCTGCGGTAGCCAGGAGCGTGCCACTGCACTCCAGGCTGGGAGACAGAGTGAGACTCCAACTCAAAAAAAAAAGGAAATCAAATCCCAAAATAGTGCTTTTTCTTTCTCTCCCATCACGCAAACTTTTCAAATGAGTTCTGGCCTCTAGATACTGAACTATATAGCCCAGATGACTATGCCATTCTTGATACTTCATCAATGTAGACAACATTTGCATTTCAAGACAGCAATCAAATCAGCCAACAAAAATATAAGACACATGTTTACAAAGTAGAAGTTAAAAAAACAAAAACAGCCAGGCTCAGTGACTCAGTCTGTAATCCCAGCACTTTGGGAGGCTGAGGTGAATGGATTGTCGGAGCCCGCGGGTTCGGGACCCGCCTGGGCAACTTGGCAAAACCTCATCTCTACAATAAATCAAAAAAAAATCAGCCGGGCGTGGTAGCGCACGCCTGTAATTCTGGCTACTC